TCAATTTTTTTTATATTCAATATCATGTTATCTGCAAATGGTGACAGTTTAACTTGTTTTTTACCAATCTGGATGCCTTTTATTTCTTTGAGTTGTCTGATTGCTGTGACAGGGATCTCCAGAACTATGTTGAATATAAGTGTGGAGAGTGGGCATCCTTGTCTTGTTCCCAATTTTAAAGGAAAGGCTTTCTGCTTCTCACTGTTAAAGTATGATGTTGGCTGTGGGTTTGTCATATATGGCCTTTATTATGTTGAGGTACTTGCCCTCTATACCTAACTGCTAGATATTTAGCTATGGCATTGGTATTTGTAATTAAGACAAATAGAAAACAGAATACATATTTTGCATTCTGTTCCTGATCCCTAAAACATTTTCATGTATTTTTAAGCTTTTATGGTTCAGATTATTTTTTACTCAGCTGTGGTTTGCAAGAGCATACCTTTTCCCCCCACAGAATACTAAAAATCAAATGACTTATTACAGGGCTTAAGAAAATTTTTCTTTTGAATGCAAATTTACTTGCTCTTTTTTTTTAAAATGTGAATTTATAAATCTTCCTTCTACTGTATAATTTGCAGTCTGACACATTTTAAAAATAATGTGCTTTGCAGACTATTTCTGACATTGAGAATTTTTGGGTACGGTGGTTGATTTGTTTCTGTGGTTGTGACTTAACGATTAATGAATTGATTCAAATTGCTTCCTGTAGAAGATGTTGAGCAAGTTGTTCAGGAGTTCTGCCTCACTTGTTTTATAAAACTGTTGTCTGTAGACCATAATAATTATAAAATCACAGAGGTCTGTTTTTCAGATTTTTAGCTATGGACATTTTAATTCATTTTCACAGTGTCCTATTTAAAAAATAGTAGGGTGGGAATTGAGTAGATATGGTATTTAAGGAAAATATAAGTGGCAGTTAAGGCAATTAGAAAGCCATTATTAAATTGAAAATATTGCACAACAATGAAACCAATATTGAATCAAATATAGCATTTGGACTAAATACAGAAACTTTGAGTGTGTTTATTAACAGCAATTGCAATGAACAGTTTAAAACAGTGATATTACCAGACATCACAGTGATTTTTCAGTAAATTGAAGTATGTTTAGCTTGTTGTTTAGTTAGATTAATGTTTAGTTGATTGTGCTCATTCAGGTTACATAACAGGAGTAAGTATTGTTTCATGATGTCTCATGCAATGTTGTCAGATTGCTAGATAGAAGTTTATATATTGTGAGGTTGTCCCAATTTTTTCATTTTATTTCATAACATCTAAGTATTTCTGGGCTCATTATGATAAAACATGAGCAAAATTAATTTACCATAAATTATTGTCTAGAGTTTTTTTTTTTAATTTATTGATGTAAGCATATTAAAGTAAATTTCAAAGAAAATGTTCTAAAAAAACACTCAGGTACCACTGAAATCAATTTTTTTCTTGTTGAGGTTATAATACACTTCAGGTCTTTGTAAGTAAACTATAGCAGGTTTATGAGAAAAGTTGATTTATGATTACTAACAAATTACCCTGAAACTTTAGCTTAGTATGGAAGACATTTGTCGTCTTATGACATTTATCTTTCCTGTGGGTCAGAAATTTAGGAGCAGGTTAGCTAAATATTTCTGGCTCAGACTATGAGATTGTAGTCAAGCTGTCAATCAGTTTTGCAGTCTTCTCAAAGTTTCACTGGGAGTGTAGAATTGGCTTCCAAGTTTACTTGTGTGGCTTCTGACTAGTGACCTCACAGTCTCTGGCCATTGATTGGAGGTCTCATTTCATTACCACATGGTACTCTGCATAAGGCTGCTTGAGTGCCCTTGGAATATGGCAGCTGATTTCTCTAGAGTAAGTAGTTCCAAACAGAGAGCAAGGAGGATGCCACAATGCCTTTTATGACCTAGTCTCACAGGTTGGACACCATTACTTTTGTTATTTACATTTTATTTGTTTAGAAACAAAGACACTGAATTGAGGCCATTCTCAAAAGTTGGGGAATTTAGGCTCTTACCTTTTGAAGGGAGGATGAAGAATTTGAGTGTGTACTTAATTACCACAATGATGTAGACTAGGAAGTCTTACAGCATATGAAAAGTGCTATATTAGTTCCCTCATAGAGTAGTTCTCAACTCTATGATACTGTGTCAGGCTTAGCTGTATAGCCTTTATAAAACAAATAACAAAGGACACATGGTTGAGTTAGGCCTGTTGATTCACTTGTGGTCAGGTTTTTCTGTAGTTGTTTCTACTGTGCAGCCAAAGTTGTCCACTGTGTTTAAGATGTAGTTTGTGATTCAGTGACACATGTTACTGCTATACTTTGTAGAACCATTATATTCCAGATATTTATAGGAATTGAGAATTTTGATATATGTCTTACAGTATTTCCTAGCTTTACTGTATCTAAGGTCTTTATTAATTTTTTAGCATTTGACCTTTGGGTAGAACATGTGGAATCTGTTTTTTGTTTGCTGTTGTTAAGAGTTAAAATTGCTAACTTGTTACAGTAAAGAACAATACAAATGAAGGATATCATGTTAAATACATCATGTACATATCTGTTTTTCCTCAAATGAACTATTGAATTATCTACTCCATCCTCTTAATTTGTAGGCATCTCTTCCTACTGTGATTCCCTAGAATTTTTCTTTGTTTGTTAAAAAGCTATGATTAGTAGGCTTTTTGGTATCATTAGTATCTTTGGAAAATCTCATTTACTGAGCATGACTTTGTTATTGACATGAAACTAAGGCATTGCTTTTATGCTGTCAGTCTAGGAAATTTATCTGAACTGGGTAGGGGGTTGATTGTAGGTTGGGATTTTGCCAAGCTCATGGCATAGAATAGTAGAAAAAAAGTGAGGCAAACAGGTTGAGGAATTGTTTAATGGCTACTTGAAATAATAGACTTTGAAAATTAAGCTGGAAAGGCAAGAGTACAGGAGGTGAGTTAGACGAAATGTGCTTTGGACATCAACTAAGGATATAGGGAAGTGGAGGCATTGTGGGTTTTTTTTACAAGGAATAATCGGTGGATTGGGAGCTCGTTGCTTTACCTAGGTTTTACATCAATAAGTAAATTGGAGACCTGGTGTTTGGACAGCTCGCTGTAAGAAACAATCTAAGGTAGTGGTTAAGAGTATGGACTTTGAATAAGAAATACAGATTTAAATATTGGTTCTTTTACTAACTTCCATGCAGTCTTTGGCAGTTGGCTTAGCTTTTTTCTGAACGTCGCTCAGTTTCTTCAGTAAAATGAGAGCCAAATATAATATGTAAGGTATGAAGTTAAGCATGCAGTTCATGGTACAAACTATATGTTCAGTAAATGTTAGTAGTTAGCTGTTGCTGTTATTTTATTGTTCTTCATCCTAACTTGTAAATTGATCTTTGATTAAATACATAACACTTTTAGCTTAGTTGAAGAACAATTACCTGATGTTTTTGAGTTGGATGAACATGGTTCATACATCAAAAACTTTTCATCCTCACCCTGTTCCTCCTTCACTTGTTCTCAGTACCCACTTCCCCCAAACAAGTAACTATAGTTATTTGTTTATATTTCCACATATTTATTATTCAGTCATCAGCCAATCCAAATATATAATTTCTCTTTCCCCACATATATTTCATACACCTTTTTTTACCTTGTTTTGTTGATATGAAAGTAACTGTGATATGAACACTTCCTCATTCTTGTGTCCTTTTGCTGTACGCCATTCCCATATGTAGATTTAGTGTAGTTTCTTTTTCTAGTTCCCTGTAAATGGAAATTTACATAATTTTGATTGTATAATCATTGTGCCAATGAATGACTTTATATATGCCGTTTTGAATATGTAACTGTATCTGTAAATTCATAATAGAATTGGTGAATCAGTTGGCATTTGTGACCTTCACACTGCCATACCCTGTGGGCTGCCAGTTATTTGCAGTACCCACAGTGTATGAAAACTGCTTATTTCCCTATAGTCTTACCTCCAGAATATATTTTCATATTTTGAGATTTTGCCACCTTTATAAGTGAAAAATGGTATCTCAATATGGCTTAAGTTTGAATCTCTTTTGTGGGTGAGGTTGTATTTTTACTTGTATTTAAGAGTCATTATTTCTATTTCTGTTTAGTATCTATTCATATCCTTTGTCTTTTTTTTCTCTTAAGGTGTTGGTCTTACTGACTGATAGGAGAATTCACCTTTTGTAATGTGCTAAGCAATTTGAACTTCTTTCTCGTTTGTGTTTTGATTCTTTTCATTCTGAAGTTTTTGCTTCTTTTGTATAATCAGATTACTCTTGGGATATATTTTCTGTCATAATTCAAAAGGTCTTCATTACTCCTGAGTTATAAAATAACTTTCTTGTTTTCTTCTTATATTTTAATGGCTTAATGTTTTTACAGTTTTATATTTATTGTGACATATGGAATAAGTTATGGATCCAGCTTAGTTTTTTAAAGATAGGCCAAGAAGTTAATTTCAGTACTACTTACTGCATAAGTTCATCTCTTCCTCATTGACTTGGATGTCACCTTTATAAAATCTAAATTCTTGTATATAATTTCTGGACTTTCTCTGTTACTAAAATAATATGCAGTGTGGCATGTTTTCAAGTTTTACTTTATTGCCCTCTCAGGGTTTTCTTGGCTGTTATCTAGTTCTGGGGTGAAAAAACCTTTTGGTACTTCTATTGGTATCACTGGTCATACTAGTTTTTGATGTTTTGATGTTTTTACTCTGTTAAGCTTCCTTTTAAAAAAATAATGAAGCCTACTAATGTTTAATACACGTCTTACTATATATTAGAAACATGCTTAGTATTGACTACATCCATCATGTAAAGTATATTAATATAAAGGAGAACCTATATTCATTGCTTTCCAATGGCCAGGTGCTTTTTACATATATTAATGCACTTCATCGTACTAAGTCGGTTTGTAACTGGAATTTGTAGAATGTGCATTTGTCTATGACTAATTTCCCTTAAACACTGATTTTTTCAGCTGTGATGCAGATCCATCAGCCCTCGCAAAATATGTTCTGGCTTTGGTAAAGAAAGACAAAAGTGAAAAAGAATTAAAGGCATTGTGTATTGATCAACTGGATGTATTTCTTCAAAAAGGTAAGGTCTTTGATTTAAAAATACTGCTTTATTGTAATAAGCTATTTAAATAAGATTATCCACCATATTAAAGGAACTCAGTAAGAGATAAGCTCTAATTGTAACAAAGTTGAACAAACAATATCATTGCTGATTATATCCATAACTCCATTATTTATAATGGAAGCCTTTCATTAATGTTCTTAATGCTCTTCCTTTAAGCATGCTAATTTTTTCTTAAAAGATTAAGAAAAAAATGCTTGTTTATTTAAAGATAGTATTGCTTAGGAAACTACTCTGAATGCTTAACTTTTTTTCACTTTGCCAGCATCTTAATAATGATAATATTTGGTTTTGGCGCCCTGGGTAGGAGACATGGAGTCTAGTTGTGGCTGGAAGCAGCTGGCCCAGAAGCTCTGGCCATTCTAGTCTCCATTGCCCTGAAAATTGAATGTATCACTCTTACCTACAGGGCTTATGCTGTGGCACACTGGTTGGGATATTTGTTCTTGGTATAATTTGTAGATTTATAGAAGTCAAGGTATATTTCACCAAAGATATATTTCATCATACCAAAGTATGATATGTAGAGGTGGAATTACTATCTTAGCAAATGTCTTCTAATCTATGATTTTTTATTTTATTTTTAGAGACACAAATATTTGTGGAAAAACTTTTTGATGCTGTGAATACAAAGAGTTATCTACCTCCTCCAGAGCAACCATCATCAGGAAGCCTAAAGGTAGAATTTTTTCAACACCAGGAAAAAGATATAAAAAAAGAAGAGGTAAAGATTTGCATTAAACCTTACATATTCTTTAAAAACATATAAGGAATAATAGAAACCTGAGTTTTATATTCTATATCTGTGTTGGGAATCTGCAAACCACCTTCAGGTTTGATTTCATTAGTTGCACTCACCGGACTGAGTATGTAGTCATACGCAAATGGCTGTGATTTCTTATAGTGAAAGAATACAAAGCGAAATTAGCAAAGGGAAAAAGCATTTAGTGCAAAGTCTGGGGAAAAACAGTTGTAGGCTTCCAGAGACCTTTACCAGTGGAGTCACACAGGATGCACATAATCAGTAGTGACAGTATGTGTGAACCAGGGAAGCTCATTTGAGTCTCAGTGCCTAGGGTTTTTATTTAGGGCTGGTCACATAGGTATCTTTTGTCTAATGTGAACCAAAACTCCAGACTTCTGGGAGGAAAGCAGGTATTCAGCATAAACTATATTTTTCACACCAAACAGTTCAGGCATAGGGAGCTGTTATTATCAGGAAATCACAGGAACCTTCCAGAAATCAGTTTGCAGATGCCAGCCAAGTCGCTACCTTGCGTCCAGGGCTTTTGAGGGGTGGCAGTCTCAGGCCTGCTTTTAACTCTTTTGCACAGTATCTTATAGCTGTGGACTCTTACATCTGTGTTCTGCGAATATAATGAGATAGTAGATCTCTTTGCCTCTGTCCTACAGGGATTTTGTAAGGAACTTTTAAAGTAGTCAAAAGGGCTTTCACAGGGCAATGAAAAAGACTTCATACTTTGAGAGGTTTTTGAAGTTGTTTACCTTTTATACAAGATTATCATTCTTGTTTAATAATCATATAATGCTTCTCTTCAATTTGATGTTTAAATGTTGTAATTCCTGCAAAAATAATTGGCAGTTAAGCTGTGTTTTTCTGCATTTAGTCTAGCTTTAGGTCTTAGCCTAATTTTAGGTCAGACAAATCTTGATTAAAAGTTCGGCTTTACCATTCACTGCTTTGTGACCTTGAGAACATTATCTTCCTGAGCCTTAGTTTATTCAGCTTAAAATGGAAGTATTATAGAGTATGAAGAATAATAAATGCAAAGCATCTGGCATAGTGTGTGCCACATAGGGTCTCATTAAATGGTAGTTGCCATTATTGTTGAGAGATTGTTGTGTGGTGGAAGACATGGTTGTGACTTTTGCTTTTTTTTTCTCTCCATACTCCTTTTGTACAGATAATATAAGTAATATGTGTTTATTATGTAATAATATGTATATATGTATATAATAATTCTCAAATATATTTTTAACTCTGTATAGCTAAACATATTTTCACACATGTATATGTATGTAGTTACACACACACACACACACAAAATACCCCTATCATTTCTCTCTGCAGAGGAATAACAGACATAATTTTATAATGCATATTTCATATCTAACAGTATTAGAGTTCTGTTAATGAGGAAGAAAAGGATAGTGGATATTGTGCTGGCAAATGATTATGCCACATAGAGACTTACAATAATTTATTTAACTTTTTCCCACTGATTGAAGTTTGGGTTGGTTCCAGATTTTTACTTAAATGAATTACATTTTAATTATTAAATCTTTAGTAAGTTAATGAGGTTTTGGTTTGAGAAGCAGTAAGAAGTCTTCCCCAGAATGAATTAGTGGTGAAGCCTTAGTCTTACATTTGTTGATGTAGTACTTTACCACATTTTTCTTGACCAGTTGTGAAGGCTGTTGATTCCTGATCTTTCAGAACTATTAAAACATCAGGTGGCAGTCTGGATTTAAAATGCGGTGCGGTAGTAACAGTTCCCATTTGAGCCTGTACTACGGAATACCTGATGATCTGTCAATGTAAATTACTCACAAGGGTGCATTGAGGCAAAGAGAAGGCAAAAACTGCATCAGGAGGGTTTTATTTGTGCCCAGTTTTTTTGGGTGGTGGATTGAGGGTGAAAGTGCATGAGAAGAAAACTAAAATATTGATATGTAAAAAAGGTAAACTGGTAAAAGAAGGTTTTAAGCAGCATTTCTCAGTCTTTTAGTCTGTTGATAGTCTGGAACCAACCCGAACTTCCATCAGTGGGAAAAACGTAAATAAATTATGGTATGTTGATAGGATTTCCATATAATTTATCATCCAGTGTGGGACATTTTTGACAGTGAGATGCTCTTACTGAAAGGGAAGCTGCAACAACTGGCCTAAACTGAGACATGTTATACTATTTGTATACTAGTTGTATCAGAATATCTTAGGGTTCTTTTTAAGAATGCAGTCTTGCACCCTCTCATATTTACAGAAACCACTTGTTCAGTATTTCCTGAGTTTGTTGATTCCCTAAATCCTTTTCTTTCTAGTAACATCTTCTAATTTCCTATAGTACCAGTGTTCTGGTCAGTACAGCATGGAAAATACTAGCCTAGAGAAAGTGGCACTAAACAATGTTTTCCATGGTTGCTTTCTATGTGAATGGAGGCCCCTTGTAGAAAAGAGGAATTTGGGGCTGCCATTCTTCTGTGAGAAACTGGAGAACTGTTATTGTTTTCTCAAATGTTCCGTTTCTATGAGTTGGTTAGTCCTAGTGCATTCTCTTACATTCCCTAATGTGTTTGGTGCTAGACGAAATCCATGAAACAAACATGAATGTATGTTGCGAGGGATAAAATTAGCTTTCCCCTAATAAGGTTAAAATAAGGATACTTGCTTAAAGTGTTTTCTCAGTTTACTACTGTAGGGTCAGCATGTATGAGTTTCTTCTTTAGCATTCATCTTAACTTCAGCAAGCATCTTTTATGGTTAAATGATTGCACTTAAAAGAGAAACTTACTTCGTTTGAGTGCTTTTTTAGAAGACCATTTCACTCCTGTATTTTATTGTCAGTTAAATCATTTAAATAGTAACATGGCAAGGAATAACTGTTGCTAAACTTACACATGTTTTTGTCTGTTTATTAGATCACAAAGGAGGAAGAGAGAGAGAAGAAGTTCTCCAGAAGGCTAAATCACAGTCCTCCCCAGTCAAGCTCCCGATACAGAGAAAATAGGTGAATGATTCATTGAACCATATTTAATGTTTAGACATGGATTATCTTTTGTATGAATGTTTAGGCTTGATTATTTTTTTACATAAGGGCAAGTAATACCTACTCTTTTACTGTTCTAGGGAAGTGTAATTCAGTCTTTTTTACCAAGAATATCTAGGTCAGATTTGTAGGTTCTGAAAGTGAGATTTAGTATAGTGCTTGGCATATATTAGGTATTATTTTTATTCCTAACATCAAATCCCAGTGAAATCTTCACATGAGACTATTTCTGCTCAGTTTCCCTTTTGTGTGAATAAATTATTTATCCCATTAAGGCTCTGAAGGTGTTTAGAGTACAATATGTGTGCTATGTGCCTCTAAGTATGAGACTGTATTTCAAGACAACATGTACTATAGACATACATAGATGCCTAAATGTTTAGATGACTTTGTGTATAAGTTTCAGGATTAAGACTTTAGGAGGGTTTTTTTTCTTTTGAAGGAGTTGTAGACTACTTAAGCATATCATGTTTCTTTTTAATTTGTTTGAGTTTCCTGTGTTTTGGTGGTGAGATAAAATAATCATGATGTTACAATATTTAAGTAAGACTTACATTTACAGTTTTTTCTGTATCCACTTAAAAATTATTTATGTAGAAGTGATCATTTGTTTTGTTAGAAGTCGTGATGAGAGGAAAAAAGATGATCGTTCTCGCAAACGAGATTATGATCGAAACCCTCCTCGAAGAGATTCATACAGAGACCGGTACAACCGGAGACGAGGGCGAAGTCGTAGTTACAGCAGGAGTCGGAGTCGAAGTTGGAGTAAAGAGAGGCTTCGTGACAGGGATAGGGATAGAAGCAGGACGAGAAGCAGAAGCAGAACGCGAAGCAGGGGTAAGTAATCCACAGCATGTGTATTTTGGTTGACATTGTTCTATTGTGAAAAAACTCCATATTTGAGGATTTTAAAAATTGTTTTGTCAGTTTTTTTTCTATTTTGATATGTTTTGTGGTCCAAGTGAATGCTTTTGAAAAATTTCTTTAAAAAATTTTATTTCATGCAAATTAAAAAGTGAATTACCACTGCATATCCATCAGAATGACTAAAATTAAGAAGACTGACTTTATCCAATTTTGGTAAGGATGGAGATAAACTGGAACTCTTTGGAAAACACTGACTGTATCTTTAAAAATGTTAAATATATACTTACCAAAACACCTAGCTAGTCCCCTTTTAGGTATTTACTGAAGAGGAATGAAAATATATTTCTGCACATGTAACAAAATGGATGAATCTCAAAATAATTATTCTGAATGAAAGAAGCCAAAGAGAGTATATATATGTATATAAAATTTTAGAAAATGCAAACTATTTTGATGACAGAAAAAAATTAGTAGTTGCCTGAGATGGAATAAAGGATGGGTGGATTATCATGGGGTACAAGGATATATTTGGGGGTGATGAATATGTATAGTATGTATATTTTTATTGTGATATTTGATTTCATAATTGTATACAAAGATCAAAATTTATTAAATAGTATACTTTAAATCTGTTCAGTTTATATGTCACTTAATGCCTCAAAACTGAAACAATTAAAAATTTTTATTTTTGATGTGTACATTTGCAAGAGCATGTTATTTCCGACATGTGTAATTTTTCTTCCATTATATATAATCTGAAGGAAGATATTGTAGGCAATAAAATAACTTAAGCACCTTTGAGTAAAACATTTTCACTAAGCGTGATGTTTGCTACCCTTGCCATCTTTATTGTACAGAAATATCTGTAGACTTTTTATAAGCCCTGTACTTCTCTGTTAGTCTTTTCTTAGATGTTTTCCCCCTATGATTTTGATGTACGAGTCCTCTTTGCACATTGCTTTACTTAAATAATCTCTTTAATATCTTTTTTCCTTTGTTAGGACCATATATATAGCCCAGTTAATTTTTTTGTTCATATTTAACACGAACTCCTTTCTTGTCTTTGCTCATCTGTTTTCATCTTCGATAGTGTTCATTGTAAAAAGTCATGCTAGGATCTTTAGATGGATGACAACTAAACGTTCATCACAGAAAAAATAACCATATTTTTTTGCATATTTTCTTTCGTAAGCATGCTAAGATTGCAATGAAGAAAACTAAAAAAATCTCTTCACGATAAACAGAACTCTAACAAAAAGTTCATTAATAACAAAATAATACATACAGCAACTTTGTGTGTAGTTTTATAGGTGATAATGAAAAAAAAAAGCTTATTTAGGAACATTGTTCATTGAAAAGTTTTAAAAGAAAAGGAGGCTTGTGTAAAATATGAACATTTTCTCTATGTTTAGCAAAAATATCTCTATTTCTTAGATCTGGGATATGGATTTTTTTTTTTTAATAAACTTTATAAGTCGTTTGTATTTTGTTGCAGAAAGGGATCTGGTAAAACCTAAATATGACCTGGAGAGAACAGATCCACTAGAAAACAATTATACTCCAGTCTCTTCAGTACCTAATATTTCATCTGGTCATTACCCTGTACCTACTTTGAGCAGCACTATTACAGTAATTGCTCCTACTCATCATGGTAATAACACTACCGAAAGTTGGTCTGAATTTCATGAGGACCAAGTGGACCATAACTCTTATGTTAGACCACCAATGCCAAAGAAACGCTGTAGAGACTATGATGGTAAGTCTTTCAACTGTTTCAGGAATTATTGAATTAATATTTTCAGCTTGCTAAATTTTGCAAGTTTAGATTGCACACAGTTACTCAAAGATTTAACCTGTTGGAAATAGTGGGAAATTAGTCTTAAGCATTTAATGACTTCCTCAATATTATTGAAGCCTTCCTTAATCACCACTGACCTTAATCAAATAAGGTTATTTTATTTGCATGTAAATCAGTATGTTTTTGGAGTGTATCAAAACAAGAGTAATATCTACTGAGTTATTAGAGAATCTGCTACTGAAATACTCTTAACAAAACTCACTTCTTTAGAAACGAATGGTGTCATGTAAGTAGAACCTAGAAATGTGAATATCACCTAAGAATTTTATAAATGAGTTGAAGACTGTTAAGGCTTTACCATAAAAGTTTTATAAATTGTATTAAAGCTGTAGTTTCAATATTCCTTAAAGTTTTAAGTGAAATATTTAAATAAAGGAGATGTTTCATATGACAAAAAATATGTAAGTTTTATATCATCTTGCTGGCTTGGTATACTCATTTTATTTTGGTGATTTTTTTTTTTAGTGTGTATGTTAGCTATATTATCTACTTGATAAGTATTTTATATAACTGGAAATTAGTAGGTGACTCTTGATATCATTTATTATACTTGCCCAATATTAAAAATACTCCTATTTTAAAAGATCTTTTGTAAGAGAAAATTTATGTGTCTAGCACTTTTCATATTTCTAATTATTCTTCATCACAGAAAAGGGTTTCTGCATGAGAGGAGACATGTGCCCTTTTGATCATGGAAGTGACCCAGTAGTTGTAGAAGATGTGAATCTTCCTGGTATGCTGCCTTTCCCAGCACAGCCTCCCGTTGTTGAAGGACCACCTCCCCCCGGACTACCCCCACCTCCACCAATTCTTACACCCCCACCTGTGAATCTGAGACCTCCAGTGCCACCACCAGGCCCATTACCCCCCAGTCTACCACCTGTTACAGGTAAGTAAATAGTGCTTATTGCCAGTGCTTATCTGTCCATTCATAGTCTTTTTAAAAAAGTGAATAAATTGATGCTTGCTTTTGTTAAAAGTATCTGAACTAATTCTGTAGATGCCTTCTAGAAATGAAGAGCAAGTTAATCCCATTTAGCATATACCCACCACTTTACAGGCTATGCCAAACCTATGGATTGCTATAGCTTGGAGTAGCCCTCATTTGTGCATGTCCCTGGTATATAGCAACTGCCTGTAGTCCTTTAGAGCTTAAGACAGACCTGTTTTAGAACATCTTAAAGGATATTTTCTCTGAAAAAAACTGATAGAGTTATAAGAGCTTGCTGTTTGATGATAGTGTTGATAGTTTGACTGATATATGAGAATATCATGTTTGGATATATAATAACTTATTTTATTTGTTTACTTCCAGATGATATTTCTTATTCTTTGGTTTTGACAGGACCACCACCTCCACTTCCTCCTTTGCAGCCATCTGGCATGGATGCTCCCCCAAATTCTGCAACCAGTTCTGTTCCTACTGTAGTAACAACTGGCATTCATCACCAGCCACCTCCTGCTCCACCCTCTCTTTTCACTGCAGGTGCAGTTTGGACCCTCTCTACTTTGTAATGTAATATAGTTTTAGATGAGGAGTTTAAATGTCTAGAGACTGAATTACTCTGTCAGGTTTTTCTTTCTAAAACTATATAGAATAAAATGTAGACATGATAAATATACATTAAATGTAAGTCCTCAGTCATAATTTTTTTAAAGTTGTATTTTCTTTTTAATAACATTCTTATTTCTATAAAACTAAGTTTTCTTTTAAATATATATAAGACATCTAAGTTAGATATTAGTAGTATGTTATATGGTTTACTTTTTCTGTTATCAGTATAAAAAACTACCAAGTGGAGTTTTATAATTGTTTTTTAATTACAGTTTTTGTATTACCAGATACATATGACACAGATGGCTATAATCCTGAAGCCCCAAGCATAACAAACACTTCCAGACCTATGTACAGACACAGAGTGCATGCCCAAAGGCCTAACTTGATAGGACTAACGTCAGGGGATATGGATTTGCCACCCAGAGGTACTATGATTAATCTTTTCTTCCTGTTATTTTTATAATATCAAGAATAGCAAAATGTTTATAAAGAATATGTTCCTGCATTTTTTGGGGTTAAGTAAGGGGTGGTGATTATATTTGTTCTTTGGATCCTTCGGCCTCCCCAAAGAGAAAAGGTAATGTTGGTTCCCTAATTGTGGTATTGGTGACACTTACTCTACCATCCAAGGAGGAAAGAGCTTCCCAAAGCTTACTAAGTAGCTTTTTTTTGGGGTGTTTCTGTCATTTGCAGTCTTAATTGGCTCATTGTAATCTTGAGAGTAATGCTTTAATTCCTAAAGACAAGATTTTTTTGTAATTTGGATAATGAAATTAGCTGTACAGACTTATACTTTATATGTGTTTTATTTCTGACATCTTAGAATTTAATATGGATTGCTTTTAATATTTTAAGCAAAAGGAATTATGTTTTAAGAAGTGACACTACCTTTTATAAGTTCCTAGAGGAGATGGACTTTTTGGTAGAATTTCTGAACAGGAAAAGAAGATAGAGTTTAGACCACAGTCACAAGCTGGGTCAGCAAAATTGCTGTAATAGAGATACAAATTGATACGAAGGTTCAGGGGAGGGAGAGACTTCACATTGATTTGAAAGATGAAGCATTTGCAACAGATAATATTTAGTATAGGGAACTGAGGGATTTTTCTATGTAGGGACATACAGAAATTTCTGTGTAGGAGAGTAAAAGTGTATCTTTTTCCCTAACTACTTCCTCTAACTTTGAAATTCCATTGTCTTTAAGTCTTTATTTGCTGTCTTTTTTTTTTTTTTTCCTAGTCAAAGAAAAGAATCATGCAATCCTGCCTCATCAATCACAGAAGTCCAGTTTACTTAAAGAAACAGCAGTCCATGCCCAGTGTAGCTTAGGGAACTTGTGATTACTTGTGTTTTGCATTTTTTTATTCATTGGAAGCTGTCAGATTCTGACCATATATCTTGAGGGTGTTAAGAACTTTTCTGTGATGGAAGTGTGAGGAACATTTTAGTTTATATGCATTTTAGTTTATATCCTCTTTGAGATCACAGGGCAATATTCCAAGTGGATGCCCCCTTTCCCTCGCACTTTTTAAATTCTCCTTGAGTCATTCTAATGTTAATATTAACAACAGAAAAGATTTTTTGACAGTTTCTATGTAAGGGATATGGGATATAAGGTTATTTGTAATTGTAGCTATTGATCCTCCAAGTCTTACCTACCTGTCTAGTTCAGAGAAAACTTCCTTCTTTGAGTCAGTACTTAGCCCTTATTTTCTTTTCATCATACCAATAGCCCTTGTTCTTACTGGAACCTCCCACATCAGTTCATTTTTTCTCTTACCTTATTGCTTTGGAAACACATAAATACATGCTGCTACATATCATGATTGATTAGATCCATTCCAATGCCAGGCCAGTTTTTTGTGTTGGTGCTCGAGAGAAGGAAGAGGGATGAAACCCCTAGTGTATAAATTTTAACCATGTAGAACATGGAGTTACAGTAATTTTAGCTTCACATGCATGTAGTTACAATTTAAAAGGAGGTCACCCTATAAATGTCTGGTATACCTACTTAGAAATTTATATGCTTTTCCTATAGAATCATTTACACAGATTACTTTTAGTACCATTCTTTAGATTCATTACATACTACTTTTGTGAGCTGGTTTAGGAATATATTTTCCATTAATACTGTTTTTATGTACCACAGAACTAATTTAACAATCCACTTACATTGGGTATTTATCTATACTTCTATTTTCTTAAATTGTTTCAGTCCTCCTCCCAGAATGTTCTCATCTGTTGCCCTTTAGATTTGAGATTTAGGGTCCTAATACAGATACATAATTAAGAGGTTATAAAATTGCTTGTTATGTAATTATCATAATTTCTTACAGCCTATAGGTGGCCTTGATTGAAATCATCATAGGTTATTATGTGATTTTTATGACTTATTTTTTATGACTTTCAAAAAATACTGTGATGTTTAGACTATTACATCTTTTTAAGCATCATACTTTAAACTTGACAGGGAATTATCATTAAACAAATGAAAACAATTTAGACCCTTTGGTGCTTTTTAATTACTAATGTAAAAGTGACCTAGAGGCCCTGATAACATTTCTTATCATTTTCTAAGGAGGTAGAGAATTTGATGGATGCTCCCTTAATTGGATATAGGTAGGAAGAAGGGCAGCGTAGTTTTCTATTTGCCATGAATAAAACCAGTGCTGAAAATTTTAATTAGAAAAACAATTTATTAAAAGGATATTGGGGGAAAACAGTCCCAAGAACTAATAGTCACATTTGCTAACTGTATACCAAGGGGAACTTGCTTCTGTGTTTTTAATAATCCCTCTTTTAAATACAGTTGACCCTTGAACAACATGGGTTTGAACTGTGCAGGTTCAATATATTTTCAATAAATATATTGGAAAATTTGGTATTTGTGACAATTAAAAAATATTTTCCTTTATTGTAAGACTATAGTATATAATACATGCAACATACAAAATATGTGTTAACCAACTGTATGTTATTGGTAAGGCTTCTTGTCAACACTAGACTATTTGTAGTTAAGTGTTTGGGGAGTTAAAAGTTATATTTGGGTTTTCAACTGTGTGAGGGATTGGCACCCCTAACCCCTTAGATTGTTCAAGGGTCAGCTATAAATAGCAGTGAAAGAATCTGAGTAAAAGAATACAGATGAGCTGGAGCAAACACGTCAGAACTCCTGGAGAAAAAAACATCACTGCCCCCCTTTGTGAACCTTCAGATGAAAAACATTTTCAGATAGGAAGGGATATTGGATAGCTCAAAGACTGTCCAAAAGGGCCAGTGAACTAGCCTTGGGAGGCAGGAATAAGGCCAAAAATCCTGTTGCAAGACTCCTGTGAAGACACCTTAGGCAAAGATACTGCAGTGTGCTGTGAACATCACCAGTGGTAGATACTGAATGTTTCTACTTAAACTGCTATGGAGTTGTAGGATAAATCAGTTAGCCAGAGAAAGGGCATAGATAAAGCAAATATACCCTATAATACTATAAGAAACTGAAAGAACTTTGTAACTGGAACAGAAGGATAGGATGTGGAGGGAGGTAAGAGGCCATTTAAAAGTCACTTGAACAATTCTAGAAGAGAGATGACAGTAGCTAGTAATTCCCTAGGGTAGTTAACATGGCAAAGTGCAAGATCTAAGTTTAGTGGAAAGAATTGTGACAACACTTGTAATTTACTGGATTGTGAGACTTAGAATGGGGGAAACGAGAGGATGAAATTAAAGACACCAGGTTTTTGCTCTGGATAATTGGACAGGTGCTAATATTCATTGAGAGGAAAAACAGATTTGGTAGGAAGATAAAGTTAGTTTTGGAATGTTTAATTTGTGGTGTCCCTAGCACATGAGTAGAAATGTCCAGTGGGAGATAGCAGAAGCACAGTTAGGGCAGTAGCCTAGGTGAAAGTAGTGCAAGTTTGTATCAAGGTTGTGTGGGTGGAAGTGAGAGGAAATATATTCAAGATGAGTTGAAGAAATATGGGCAGTCAGAAATCAAATGATTAGGAAAATGGTGGTTTCATTCATAAAACAATTTAAGATTTTAAAAGGCCTTTTAATATGAAGACAATTGTACTTAATACACAGTGACTTTTGTGAAACCCGATTTTCAGAGTAAGATGGCCAGAGAAAACCACACAGGTAGAAATTTAAGAATGGTCCTCAGAGTAGAGTTGATGAGGTAATAGAGTTATTGATATGATGTCCTGCGTGGATTCTAAGTTCCTTTAGTTAGTTATGTATTTAGAAGTAATGAGAATAAGATATAGCCATCTTTAAAAAAAAGGAATTTTAAAATAACATTTTTCTATGCAGAAAAGTCTTCTCATGTTTTAAGCTTTGGTGTCATTTGGTAATAAAAGGCTAAATGTACTATGTCAAACTCCATTTAAATAAACATGAAATCTTAAAAGTAGAAGATAACTTATAACTCTTTTGTACATTTCAATTTTGAATATTTACCTTTTCATTATTTATCTATTTCTCTCTAGAACTTTATGTTTTTCTTTTTTTATTAAACTATCATTGATATACACTCTTATGAAGGTTTCACATGAAAAACAATGTGGTTACTTCATTCACCCATATTATTGAGTTCCCCCCCATATCCCATTGAAGTCATTGTCCATCAGTGTGGTAAGATGCCACAGAGTCAGTACTTGTCTCCTCTGTGCTACACTGTCTTCCCTATAACCCCCACACACATACCATGCATACTAATCATAATACCCCTCCATCCCATTATCCCTCCCTTCCCACCTGCCCTCCCCCACTACTCCCCCTTGGTAGCCACTTGTTCCTTCTTGGAGTCTCTGAGTCTCATGCTGTTTTGTTCCTTCAGTTTTACTTTGTTGTTACACTCTACAAATGTGGGAAATCACTTAGTACTTGTCTTTCTCTGCCTGGCTTATTTCACCTCTAGCTCCATCCATGTTGTTGCAAATGGTAGATTTGTTTTTTTCTTTTGGCTGAATAGTATTCCATTGTGTGTAGGTACCACATCTTCTTTATCCATTCATCTACTGATGGACACTTAGGTTGCTTCCATATCTTGGCTATTGTAAAAAGTGCTGCAATAAGCATAGGGGTGCATATGTCTTTTTTGAATCTGAGAAATTATATTCTTTGGGTAAATTCCTAGGAGTGGAATTCCTGAGTCAAATGGTATTTCTATTTTTAGTTTTTTGAGGTGCCTCCATACTGCTTTCTACAATGGTTGAATTAATTTACATTCCCACCAGCAGTGTAGGAGGGTTCCCCTTTCTCCACATCCTCACCAGCATTTGTTGTTCCTAGTCTTTTCAATGTTGGCCATCCTAACTGGTGTGAAGTGATATCTCATTGTGGTTTTAAATTTCATTTCCCTGATAATTAGTGATGTGGAGCATCTTTTCATGTGCTTATTGGCCACCTGAATTTCTTTTATGGA